AATAAATAATTGCAGGCCGTACGTTAACAAACCATTTCGTTTGCTTAGTTTTTCAAATTGTATTTCTTTTTCAAATGCTCTTCAATTTCCTCAATGGATTTCCCTTTAGTCTCCGGCAAAATTACCAAAGAAAACAACATAGCCAAGATGTTGAACACAGCATATATGTAAAATGCAGTATAGAGACCTAAACTGTCGGAGATAGGCGCGAAAATAAACAATTGTATAAAATTCATGAACCATGTGTAGCTAACGTTGAAGCCCATCAGTTTTGCTCGAACCTGAAATAAAAGTGAATAATTTATTATTAATTATGCATATGAATAGGTCACAATTATTTATTATAAAATCAAATGGTTACTGTTATTGTTAAGAGTTACAACGGAACACACACTGACTGCATCAGTGTGTGTACGTTGCTTTTGCGACCATGTATGGATTAACCAACACTTGTTTGGTTATTTTATCTCTTGTCTAAACAAGGATATAGGAATAATAAATTTTGTTTAAGTACAGAATCAAGCAATGGATATTAATGAATAGGAAGTGTAAGGCCGTGGCGATATCGATGCGGGCAGTGGCGCGGTGAAAGTAGCCATTTCTCGACAGCGATAGGTTTTTTTAGACAACATCACATACGTTGCTCTGATCCCAAAGTAAGTAGCTAAAGCATTTGTGTTATGGAAATCGGAAACAACGACGATATGACAAACACCTAGACCCGAGATAATACGGAAAAGTTAATTTTTTACACTGACCCGGCCTTGGATCGAACCGAACAGAGACAGCGACACCATGAAAACTGGTGTGCAAGCCACTTGACCATGGAAACCGTCGAGTTTGCAGCGGTAAAGTGACATAACGAGAATGTAAGCGCAATGTCGATACTGTGAGTTGACCTTTTTATAGTACCTAATTCTTTTATTCGGTATGAATTATTAGAGGAAAAAGAAGACCTGAACCTGTATTAGAAATAAAGAAAGCAAAAGGCGAGTTTCACCGAAATTACGCAGACCAAAATCCGGATAAGTTATAATGACCATGGAAATATTTAACAATGTTCTTGTAAATCACACTCTAATTATGAACGAATAGTGTCTCTATTCTTCTTTTTATAATCATTAATAATACTTCTATTTTTATAGTCGATATGTTTGCTGTTCCATATTGGTGGTCTTTCTAAAACTGCTGAAATTATTTTCTCCGAAAACATCTTTAAATTTGATTGATCACAAATAGCTATGGGTAAGCAACAAGACAACACTATGACCGCTTGACCGCTCGACTGGAGGGAGCGCGACGTTTGTCGTGTACCACCGCCCGCGCCGCTGCCGTCGAGAACAGCGTACTATATTAAGTTTGCACTTAGGCATTTTGATTAAGACATCGCGCAAGCCGCCACCCGCATCGCTGGATGTCGCATGTTGCCCGCTGTCTTCCAGTTTAGCCGACTTCAAAAAGGAGGAGGTCCTCAATTCGATTATTTTTTTTTGTGTGTAGGTATGTTACGCGATTACTCCGACGTTTGTTTTTGAAAGGGGTAACCTTAGTAGTGGTCCCATTCAGATCGAAAAAAAATTCCACCTCTAAGGGTAGCAAATTAGAGGATAATCCGGTTTATTGAATTTCACCCACTTTTTTCAATAAAACTTGGCAAATAGGTGTAATTCTGCAAACTTCTAAGGTCGGTATTTTTATTCTATAAAACAATTATATTTATTTCCTTTTTACCTGGAAATTAAACATTTCAGACAGCACGACGTAAGCTACTGCCAAAGGACCAGCGGCGTGTCCAGCTACTGCCATCATCATAGCTGTTAGTGGTATCCAGAATGGAACAGTACCGCCGTGATGCTGGATTAGTACTACTGTTCCGATGCACGTCATTGCAACTGTTATCATGGTGAAACAGGTACACAAAATTGGCTGGAATAGTAGAAATAGAGATAATTACTAATTTTACTTTGGCACTACTAGGTCACTGGTTAGTGTGGATGAGACTTCTTTAGAAAGTCAAGTTGTTAGTGTAGTGTGTGTATGACTATAATAAGAATGAATAAACGAGAGTAGTTGCTCGTTTGCTGCCTGCGCCCGCAGCCGTACTGAGTGGCCGTGCTATAAGGCTGCTTACAGATTGACTGCTTGTTTGCAGTACAGACCACGATTGCATGAAGTTGATACCGATTCCACGTATTAACTGCATGCAGTCGATTTCGGCTGCATGAAGTCGATTTCGACTGCATGCAGCTAATGCGCGAAGTCGTTATCAACTTTATGCAGTCGAGGTCTCGGATAACGACTTCGCGCATTACTTGCAAACGTGTAGTCAATCTGTTAGCAGCCTTAGGGCTTTGGCGCGCAGTTCTCGTCGAGTCACCGCCTCGGAGTCTCATGATTAAGAACCACAGATTAGTTCGAAACAAGTCGAGCCAAAAAATCGACTTAAATACGTAAGTTAAAGTGTTTTTTCACCGGCGGGGAGAGACGAAATAAGGCGATGCGAGAATTGAAATCTCGCCGACCTATTTCCATCAAAAATTGCCATGGCGAGCTCGCGCTATGGTTATGGATAGTGAAGACACGTGCTGTTCAATTCGTCTAGCGATAAACACGCGGCTAAAGTACCATGTCCCGCAAATTCTTTTGATTAAATATGTTAAAGCAAGAAGAATCAGATGAAGATACTGTAAGAAGAATGAATCATGTTGTATTATAAACTGTTTGTACTAAGATAAAATAAATAAATAAATTATTAAAATAAATAAACTTTTTCGAAAATAATATTTTTTATAATCTTTTACCCCAGGGCAAATATTACGAACCAGCAAAATACACACAAAAAAGTTTATAACAGGCGCTGGTATGTTTACATTATATTGCAACTATATTGTGTATTATATATATTTTTGAAAACGCTGCAAGGTTTTAAAAGTGGTTACATAATTATGATAAAATCACAATCCTAATCGTGTACATTTTAATGCAATTATAAATATATAATATGCATTGTATAAATATTTACGAAAATGATAGGGATAGGTACAGCGTATGACACCAGGACTATAAAATATATATTTTTCATTGACTTTAGTTTCTTTATTTTTCTCTGAAATAAAAGGATATCTTTTTTAAAATGGTGTCCTGATTACATATTTTTGAAAACAGCACAAGGTACATTTTTGAAATATCTAATATTTTCATAATTTCGAAAATGTGCGAATGTTTACATTTCAATGCACGCGACTGTATCCCACAATCTCGCGATTGACATTAATAGCCATCGCGAGCACACGCGAGCACGCGCGAGCACGCGCGAGTATTCGCGAGCACGCACGGTATTGTACGCGACATCGTAACCATGTTTCCGTTGCAGAGTTAATAAAGAGTCTATGTGGCAGCAATACGGTTCAATGTTACATTAACAAATATTTCAAATCTCGTCTCGCCCATCCTCGTCAATGCCGACCATTTCCACCGAAGTTGCGCTAGGAGAGAATTGATATTTTGCCATACAAGTTTTAAAAATCGTCTCGCGTCGTCTCGTACGCACACGGCGTATTTTATACGCAATGACGACTCGCGTTTCACGAACGCGCGTTTACGGCGCCATACGTAAACGCGCGTCATCTGCGCGTATGCTCACCGCTGACGCGCTGCAGTGAATCGATTCAAACGCGCGCAAACATCGCGTTGCAAGCAAGAATCTTATATAGTCCACTGGAGTTTACACTTAGAATTTCACATAGTTGCTTCATTTCAGAAATTATATTGTGAAATTAAGAAACAAAACTAAAATTAAAATCTCTTATCAAACTGCGCGATACAGCGCATCTGCGACGCGTATAAAATACGCCGTGTGCATAGGCTCTAATGTCTGAGACTCACGGTGGTTTCCTATTTAAAATCATTTTCAATCGTGAGTTAAGGTGTAATTTGTGGTTGTCTGTGTGTGTGAACATGGCACAGTTTTCCTAGTTCGAGGCTACGTGTGTGTGCGTTATTATTTTATTATATATTCAATCTTTTATTCATAAGACATATTTTTTACAGGATTATGTCTAAAATAGTTTTCATTTTTTAAACGACTTCAAAAAAGGAGGATTCGGTTTTCATGATTCTTTTTTTGTTGGAAAGAGGGTACCTACATAGAGGTCCCATATAATTACATAGAAAATCATCCACCTCTAAGAGCGGCTGGTTCACGCATGAAGATTCATTTTTATAAATAGCGCCTAAATTTTATTATAAAAGCAATTATTTTAATAGTTGATTTTGCTATTCTCCAATTCAAGGCGTTTTTCTCTCTTTTTACTTTGAGTAGTGAGAACCGATTTTTATTGTCTTCTGTGTCAAGTCCCGTATAGTGGCGAACTAGGGGATGAATCCGGATTTGCGCACTTTCCGGTAACCGATTTCAATAAAAATTGGTTGGTTTTTTGAGGTCGGTTTTTTAGTACTCTGTACTGATATTATCACTTAATTAGATGCATTTTATTTTATTACGAGTTCAATTACCTTTCTACCAAAGCGATCAATGCAGTTCATGGAAATAGAAGCAGCAAGGATACTAATCAAAGGAAAACTAAAACTGAATTCTGGACTGAAATTGCTTCCAGAGTTGATGATGATCGAAGATGCAAACACGATAATTGTGAAGCTACCGTTGCATGCATGTGTGGTCATCAGTGCTATGGCTATTAAAAAACTCCGACGCCAAACGCTGTTCCTAACTGAAACATAGTTAAGCTTAATTTAATTATTAATACAAAGATCGAACACAAAGATAAATATATTCCTTCGATCTGACAGCACTCGAACCTGTGTCTGTATGCCAACCCAGTGCAACCGCTCTACCAACTGAGCTTTTTTTTATAATATTAAATGACGGGACGAACAAGTCGTGCGCCTGGTGGTAAGCGACAGGCGTGTTACTGTTATCAGTTGCTGTACCATTCAGGGCTTTAAATCGCAAAAATCTGAGGGGCACTTCCTCTGCG